CTAAATTCTAGGATCACAAGCAAGTCCCACTACACCTGGCTTATAACTTTTTTTGTTTGTTTGTTTTTGTTTTTTGAGAAAGGGTTTCTCTGTGGCTTTGGAGGCTGTCCTGGAACTAGCTTTTGTAGACCAGGCTGGTCTCAAACTCACAGAGATCTACCTGCCTCTGCCTCCCCAGTGCTGGGATTAAAGGCGTGGGCCACCAATGCCCAGAAGCTTATAACTTTTAAAACATAGAAAATTCTTTCTAAGATTTTTTTCAGTAAGAGTGTTAACCTGGAGCCTATATACAGGCAGAAGAAGAGAACTGACTCCACAAAGTTGTCCTCTGCCCTCCAAATACATGCTGGGGTATGGGTGTCCCCCACTAAGTAAGCCAATAAATTAAAATTTTAAGTAGACTAATTATATTAGCAATATTAATGACAGTTTAAAGGTGAACACTACCCAAATGTCCATCAACTGCATGGCGAGATATGAAGTACAAATACATGCTGCAGCACAGATGAGGGTGTCACTCTGCTACATACAAACCAGTCACCAATGGCCACATATAGTATATTACATGGACAGGAAACAGATTATAGAGGACAGGGTTGCAGAATAAGAAGGTGATAGAGGATACAGGATTTCTGTAGAAAGTAACAAATAGATAACCAATAGAGGCAATGACTGCATAGCTCACTGAATGAATTGAACTGTATACTTCAAATGGGTGAATTTTTGAGCATATTAATTTTAGCTCAACAAAACTGTTACACACGCCAGGCAGTGGTGGCGCATGCCTTTAATCCCAGCACTCCAAAGGCAGAGACAGGTGGATCTCTGTGAGTTTGAGGCCAGCCTGGTCTACAGAGCAAGTTCCAGGACAGCCTCCAAACAATACAGAGAAACCCTGTCTCGAAAAACAACAACAACAACAAAACAAACAAACAAACAAAAAACTGTTACACACATTAAGAAAGGGAGGATCAGCTGGGCGTTGGTGGTGCATGCCTTTAATCCCAGCACTTGGGAGGCAGAGACGGGTGGATCTCGGTGAGTTCGAGGCCACCACGGTCTATAGATAGAGAGTGTCAGGAAAGGCTCCAAAGCTACACAGATAAACCCTGTCTCAAAAACCAAAAGAAAGAAAAGAAAAGTGGACACACACACACACACACACACACACACACACACACACACACACAGGACACACCGGCTCCACCCTGGTCCTCCGCAAGACCAGCCAGTGCTGTTGCCACTGAGCCATCCCTGTAGCCCATTAAACCCTTTTTGATGTGTTTTACATATTCATAGTAACCCTGAGAATGTTTTACAGATAAGGATATCAAGGCACAGAAGTAGGAAGGTTACAGAACTGCAACTCAGTCTAGGCAGCCTAGCTACAGAGCAAAAACAATTAATCCAAACCTTCTACTCACCTAAGAAGAGTTGCTAGCCCAGGCTTCCTAGGACTCCCTCAACCCACACACACATTCTGCTATAACTCCCACTTCCGTTGACCAATCCACCTGCACTGATTACAATCCTTTGTGTGTTTGGGAATGGTAAGGGAAAATCTAAAGGAGATGGAGCCATTCCACATTCTGCAGCACATTCTGGCCAAAGCTTTGCCAAGATGTAGTAGGGCCTACTACTACCTGTAAAGCATTCTCGCTGGGAAAACAGACAAGAGGGACTTCAGCTGGACACCGAGCAATTCAAGGCTTCCGTGGGTTTTTTAAGCACCAAAAAGAGACTTCTGATAACCATGTTTTCTGGTATGAGTAAGTGAAACCAGTTTGACTTTCTCAAAGCTAAGCAGGAGAGTTTCAGTGCCCAGAATATACTGAGTGAGAGAGTTGCCCAAGGCCTTGGGAAAGAGAGCCTTACTCTCCTCCCTGGGGTTAATGGCAGGAGCTCCAATTCACATCTGCCCTACAGTAACTGTGGCCTCTCTTTTGTCCTCACTGAACCCTAACAAAGCCTGGCCTGGTCATACGCCAAGATCCACCTGGCAAACAGAACTGCTGCTCTGCTGGAAACACCACCTTCTTGTTCAGACTGAGGTACGAATTTAAGAGGCATAGTCATAACAAAAGCATTCTGCTCTGGTCCTCCCACATCAGGAACAATTCTTGGGTCTGGGAATCTACCCTATGCCCAGGCCAGGCTATCAGGAAACCTTATCTGCTGTGTGTGCAAAACACATTCAGGCCTCAGCACTTATCTAAGATGCCTCACTTCACCATAGCCTGCTCAAGAAACCTATCTATGGGCTTCCTGTTTGCTTTGTTGACTCTTTTTTTTCTTTTGGTTTTACAAGACAGGGTTTCTCTGTATTGTTTTGGAGGCTGTCGGTCCAGCCCGGCCTCGAACTCACAAAGATCCGCCTGCCTCTACCTCCCAAGTGCAGGGATTAAAGGTGTGCGTCACCAAAGCCAGGCAATTGTTCTCTGCATTTTATGTTGAGGCAGGTTCTGTCAATTGAACTCAGAGCTCACTGATTTGACTAATCTAGCTAACCAGCTTGCCCTAGAATCCCATCTCTATCTTCTGAGTGCTGGGACTACAGGTGTGCTGCTTTGCCTGTCTGACATTCATATAGGTGCTGGGAATCTCACACTGATGGCAGCTATCACTTTTACCAGCTCAGCCATATCCCTAGCCCCAGTATACATGTAAGCAAAATGTATGTATGTATGTATGTATGTATAAACAAATTTTAAAAATAAAAAATAAGAGCTGGGTGTTGGTGGCGCACGCGTTTAATCCCAGCACTGGGGAGGCAGAGGCAGGCGGATCTCTGTGAGTTTGAGGCCAGCCTGGTCTACAAGAACTAGTTCCAGGACAGCCTCCAAAGCCACAGAGAAACCCTATCTCGGAAAAAAAATAAGAATAAAATAAAATAAAAATAAATAAAAAATAAGCCTTTAAAAAATTTGCCCCAGACCAGCCAAGTAGTTCAGCAGGTAAACTATTTTTAGCACAAAACTGACAGTTGGAAGCAGAGAAACAACTCCTCAAAGTTGTCCTCTGATCTCTACATGTACAACTCCACTCCCACAAACACATCATACACAAATTCACTAGTAATAAATTAAAAATCAGTTTCAGGGTGAGTGTGGTGTCACACACCTTTAATCCCAGCACTAGGGAGGCAGAGGCAAGCAGATCTCTGTGAGTTGAAGGCCAACTTGGTCAGGAAAGCCACGGCTATGTATAGAGACCTTGTCTCAAAAAAAGAAAGGAAGGGCCGGGCATTGGTGGCGCACGCCTTTAATCCCAGTGCTAGGGAGGCAGAGGCAGGCGGATCTCTGTGAGTTTGAGGCCAGCCTGGTCTACCAAGAGAGTTCCAGGCCAGCCTCCAAAACAATACAGAAAAACCCTATCTCGAAAAAACCAAAAAAAAAAAAGGAAAGGAAAGAAGGAAGGAAGGAAGAAGAAAGGAAGGAAAGGGAGAAAGAGGAAAAGAAAAAAAATCAGTTCCAAAGTCTCCTCCTAGCTCATCACATCTGCCTGTAAATCTTTCTTCTTTACAATCCCCTGAGATTAACTGGGCTCTCACATGCTCAAGACTTGCATCAACTAATTCATTCTTCATGACAATCCTGAATTATGAATATCATTCAAACACTGCAGAAACAGAGACATAGAAAGTAAGCATGAAGTCCTTGTGATAGTATGTGACAAAGAGGGCATTTGATTGCAAACATCTAACTCCAGAGTGCATCTGTCTCTGTACATTACTGTGTACACTGCCCCGCACCCCGCACCCCAATGTCTTGGCTTCATACCTTCTAATCTCCTTCCTTCCCATTCCATAATGGCTTCCCAATGAAGTGCTCTGCAAATGCTCTTTTGGCAAAGCTAGTATGATCTCTACCTGAGCACAGGGGTAATAGTTTTTCCTAAGAAGTCCCCAGTATCTAACCTATACTTGCTGAAAGGTTAGATGAACATTAAAAAAAATTTTTTTAAAAAGCCAGTTTTCAAAGTGTCCTGAAGATGACTCTGCCTTTTATCTTTCTAGTTGTGCTAAGTGACCTGCAAATCTACTGGCTTAAGCTCCTAAGTTAGGCCAAGATCCGTGTTAGCTTTATCAGAACCGTGTTGTTTCCCAAGCATGACCTCAGGTGACCCGACAGGAGGAGGAGCTAAACCCTGGGGCTAGCTCCTGAGGCTCAGCTGGAAACCCTCAGAGTTAGTAGAGAGCTCTGGCAAGGCAAACTTGAGGCCTGCACACTAGGCTCTGCCTCTGGGTCTCTGTGTGGCTCTGAGAAGTTTCCTTTCGTTCTCTAGGTGTCTTTCTGGATCTGTACAACAAGAATACGGCTAAACACAAACCTCTGGACTCAGCCCAGAAAGGTTTATTTTGCTCCTACCTGCCACCCCTTTCAGGGTCTTGTGCACCGCGTCCACGCAGCTCTGACAGGTCATCTGCACTGCAAACTCCAGCTGTAAGGGCAGCAGGGCCGGGATACATGTCAAGTACTATCCTGATTCACCGCCTTCCCTATGATGACTCTGGGCACACGTCTCATATTGACTTCTGTTCAAATTCCTTCTTCATTATCTCATGAGCATTCCAGTATGGTGGTCTCACCCTCCCACACCCACAATGCAAGAAGCATACCTATCCTAATCCCGGGATTTCATCCCTCCCCAGGAGCCTGCTCTTTCCTGACTTCTCAAGATAACGATCACCCCAAGAGCCGAAGCTATGCGAGGCTCCACACGAAGCTTTCACTCACTGCACACATGGTTCCACCGTCCCCGGAATCCGAAGCCATCCTGGATATAGTCAACCGCCTGGGCCGCAAAACAGTTAGGGTCCAGAGAGCAACACTGCTCAGTCTTGTGGGGTGGGCGGAGCCTCGGGAACCACCCTTTGCTCCACCTCCTTGGCGCGTGCGCATGCTATGCCCAGGTCTGCAGTCTATCCAGTAGGGGCTGCGCAGGCGTATTAATGCCATCGGCCCTGGTTTCCTTAGTAACCATTTGGCGTCTTGTACCGGCTCAGCGGGAGCCACCTGCGAAAGGATGGAGCTACATAATCAAGATTCTGACCTCAAGCAAATTTACCACCGGTTGCTGAGTCCACTGACGCTCTTCCCCAAGAAGGCGACGCCTCCAGAGCCTCCAAAGCGCCCCTCGCAGGAGGTCTCGCCTTTGCAATCCATCCCGCTCGCGAAGCTAAAAGTGGGGCCACTGTGCCGTCAGGTGTCCAAGCGGCTAGCAGGCAGTGGGCGGGCGGCGCGGGTGACTCCCAAGGATCGACTCCGTCTCACCCAGGTTATCCTAGAGGAGCTGAGGTGCAGCTGGCGGGAACCTCCTGCAGAACCTATTTTAAACTACGAAAACAATCAGAGGCTGCGGAAGCGGCTGGAGTCCTACGTGCTGATCTGTAGTGAGCAGCTCTTCATACGATACCTGCACCTGCTGGTGACCCTGCCGGCCACTAGAAGGGTCTTCACTGAATCAGCCACCCTCAGCCGGTTGGCAGTCAACCTTGCCAGGGATTGCACAGTTTTCCTCACCAGTCCCGATGTTTATCGCTTCCTGCTGGCTGATTTCCAGACCTTGCTGAATTTAGAGCAGACCCGGGGAGGTATTCTCAAGCTGCGACCCCCAGTTTGCCCCCCTGGGACTTTCAAGCTTTGTCCAATCCCCTGGCCTCACAGCACCGGCTTGGACCAAGTGCCATGCTCTAGCCTCAACCTGAACTACCTTGTCCAACTCAGCCGCCCATATGATTTCCCCAGTGAGCCCGAACCTGACCCAGTAAAGGAGTTGAAATCCATCCCCGAGCTGAAGAGTAGAAAGCAGCTCCTCTGGGTGCTCTCCGCGAAGAAGGAAAAAGAAGTTGAAGTTAGTCCCTCAACGATGGTACCACTGCCTAGCCATTCTCCTCGCAGCAGTGAGATTTCCCCCTTCCCCACTTCACCAATCTACCCCAGGCTCCCGAGGGGCCAATCCATGCCCTGTCTTCGTGAGGGATGGAGTCTGGCAGATGAGTTGGGCCTCCCCCCTCTCTCCCCTCATCCCCTCACCCCACTGGTCTTGGCTCCAGAGAGAAAACCACTGCTGTTTGGGGACATGGTGGCTGAGGATCTGAAGCAGACGACAAAGAGCATGGCAATGGAGTGGGCTCACTACTCACCACTGGAATCGAGCCTGCCCCCCCTCCTTGGGGTCCTTACCAGGCGCTTGACTGCCCAGGAGCACATAGAGAACCTGCAGCAAATGCTGAAGAGCCTGCAGGATGAAGAAGCCTCGGGGCAGTGGGATCTGCACCCCTCAAGAATCAGTCCACTTCACCCACAGCCAGTGACAATTACCGTGAAGCTACAAAATCAGGTTGTGGTACAAGTAGCTACTGTGCAACTCTCAGACAGATACTATTCTGACACCTTTCACGTTGAGGGGGCTGGAGTTCTATACAACCATCTGACTGGGGAGCTGGACTGCAAAGCCATCGAAGAAATGGATGCTGATCGTCTTGTTGGCAATAGCACCAAAGAGATATACAAGGAATTGATGAGCCGAGTCTCTACTAGTCACTTATCTTTTGATGAAGGACCCCAGATTGAGCCCTCAGCAGATAAAGATTGGTCCACCTACCTGTCCTCAGCTTTTATATACCAAGATAAACATTTCCCAGTCATCAACCACGATCTGGTTGGATTTTACTCCAGGAGAACAAGCATGCAGCTGTCGTGCCCTGAGAAGACACCTTCTCTCACATTACTCCAAAGGCGCAAAAGCTGGGACAAGCGGCCAAACAAGGGTGTATGGGTGAACTGGTGGAAAACCTCTGTGTCTAGCGAAGACTATTTAAAGTACCTCACCACTCAGCAGACGGATTTCCTCCACGTCATCTTCCAAATGCATGAAGAAGAAGCTGCTGTGGAGATACCCGCCCCTGTGAAAGACTCGGTGGAGATTCAGCACCCTCCTCCCCTGTTGGAAGATGAAGAGCCGGACTTTGTGCCAGGAGAGTGGGATTGGAGCTCAGTGATAGAGGACAGTTCAGGACCTGGGAGAGCCAACATCTTAACCCTGCAGCAGCGTCTAGAACGACTGTGGGTCATGTTGGAAGTCCCTGACCAGAGCCGGCTGGACATGGTTGTTAAGTACAGCTCCAAGGCACGCCTACAGCAGCTGCCGGCATTGATCAGGGCCTGGGAGCGGGTCCTAAAGCCCATTCAGAAGCGGGAGCTGTTGCTAGGGAGACTGGAGTGGTTTGAACGTCAAGCCTCTGACCCCAACCGCTTCTTCCAAAAGCCTGATTTGGTGCTGAGTCGACTTCTGGAGGAGAATCGATTCCGTAGCCATATCCAAAGGCAGCTCAGTTTAATGGAGTCTTCTTTGGTTTCCTTGCTAGAAAAGATAGAGTCAGTCTTTGAGGAGCCAGTGACCTTCAAGGGGCGGCGCTATCTAGAGAAGATGAAGCAGGACAAAGTGGAGATGCTGTACTGGCTTCAGCAGCAGCGGCGGGTTCGAAATCTGATCAAGGCCCAGAAAGCCTTCCACCAATCGTCCGTGTTCACAAGGGGCAGCAGTCGGGCTTTAATAGCTCCTGGGAATACTCCTACTACCCACTAAGGGGCCAAATGTCCCCAAACCCCTTCCTAACTCGCAAACACCCAGACACTCACATAGACCTCTCAATAGCTTTAGAACAACTATGGATATTTCTACAAGGGACTGAGAATCTTTGTCTTAGCAGTCTAGATAAAAGGATTCCTCAAATCTGGTATTCTGTGTATGTCAACAGTGCTATACAATACAACCTTATCAAATGGTCCCTTGGAGTCCATTATAACATAGGTCAGACAGAGCAAGTCGTGATCTTTAAAATAATTCAGTTTAGTGTCATTGTCCTACTATATTAATTGCCTGATTATAGCTCCAAGTCACTCTTGTTTAGGCTCAATAGAGTAACACTTAAGCACGACAGCTCTGAAATTAACAGCTGCCATCTTAAAACATTCTTTACTAGATTTTTACCAAAACAAACAAACAAACAAAAAGTAAGTTTCCTTCCTACCTCCAATCCTCAATTTCCTTCTTACAGATAGCAGTTGTTACCATATTCTGTATTTAACAAGTGTTTATTGAGCATCCACAAGGTGTTAAGCTCATAATCTGTATGCTGCTTTCCTCTTCGTTCTTTTGTTTTGTTTTGCACTCAGTTCCAGGGAATACAGTCATCATGAAAGGGAAGTTATGATGACAGGTACAGGATGTGGCTGGTCACATTACATCCATAGAGAAAGATGAAGGCTGAGTCTGAGGAAGCTTCTTCTTTTCCACTGCTGCTTCCTTTGTTTGAGACAGGGTCTCACTCTGTAGTCCTGGCTGTCCTAGAACTTACTTTATACACCAAGATGAACTCATTTCACAGAGATCCACTTGCCCCTGCCTCCTGTGTGCTGGATTAAAGGTGTGCACCACCATGGTTGACCTATCTTTCTTCTTTTTATGCAGCCCCAGACCCTTGTCTATGGAATGATGCTGCCACATTTATCATTGCCCCTCAATCTAATCTAGATAACCCATCTCATATATCCAGAGACTTGTCTCTTTGGTGATCGTAGATCCTGTCAAGTTAACCGTATTAATGATGATGTCATCAGTGAGTGAATTAAAGATTTCTTTGTTCATGTTCCACTCTCAATAAACAGACTGTAAACATGTCACTAAGCACATGGAATAATACAGTGTTAGATGGTGGTGAGTACTATGGGGGAAAGAAAAAAATTACAAAGGAAGGGGAATTAAGGGTGAGTAATATTTTAATAAAGGTGGTCAGAGCAGTCCTCACTGAGAAGACCAAATTTGAGCAAAGGCAGAAGGTGAAAAGTAAATCCTGTAGACACCTGGGGAAACTTTCCTGACAACCATTGATGAGCTAGCTCCAAATCAACAATGCTCAGGCTGCTCCAGGAACAGTGAGGTCCTGAGCCAGAGAGGGAATAAGAGGAAGTAGGGCTAGATAGATGGCTCATTGCTCTTCCGCAGGACCCATGTTCAGGTCCTAGCATCCACATCAGGTGGCCCACTACTGCCTGTAACTCCAGTTCTTGGGTGATCCAATGACCTCTGGCTTCCTCTAGGCATACACGTGATGCACATAAACCCATGAAACCACATACATACAAAAAATTAAGTCTTTTAGAAAACAAAGATGCCAAAATGCACACTAGACTATGTGAGGCCTGTTAGGTCATTGTAGGCACTGTTTCAGAAACAGCCTATGTACACAGGAAGCATGTATGTATGCATTATGAGTGCAAGTATTTACAGCTATACCTGTTGGAGAATGGTACACTATTTTCTCCCTGTCCCCTTTTTAAATAAAGTGCATCAAGTTCATTATATATTTCCTATATATAGGTACATATACTGAATGTATCCAATATGTAATACAGCTGCTTCATTTTTTTTTACTGTGGGGCCCAGGCTTGCCTAGAACTCTCTCCATAGCCCATTACTTTACTCTTTTGAAAGTTATGGAGCATTCTTCTGTGTGTATGTTTTATTTAATTAGTCCCTTGTTACTGGACATTTTCAGTCAAAAAGAATGCTCTAAACTAGGCAGTAGTGGTGCACAACTTTAATCCCAGCACTCCGGAGGCAGAGGCAGGTGGATCTCTGAGTTTAAGGCCAGCTTGGTCTACAAAGTGAGTTCCAGCACAGCCAGGACTATTACACAGAGAAACCCTGTCTTGAAAAACCATAAAAAGAAAGAAAAATATTATACATGAAGTGTCTTCCTTGTGGGCTGGTAAGATGGCTGAGCAAGTTAAGACATTTGCTGTTAAGTCTGATTACCTCACTTTAATCACAAGACCTACATGAGCGGAAGGAGAAAGCTGGCTCCCACAAATTGTTCTCTGGCTTCCATGAGCACAGTGTGTGAGTGTGTGTGTGTGTGTGAGTGTGAGTGTGTGTGTGAGTGTGTGAGTGTGTGTGTGAGTGTGTGTGAGTGTGTGTGTGTGTGTGTGTGGTGGGTGTATGTTTAGACTGGAGGTCAATTTTAGGAGTCCTCCACTTTGTTTTTTGCACAGGATCTCTCATTGGCCTAAAATTCAGCTAGTAAGCCAGACTCTGGACAAATGATCCCCCTATCTCTGCCTCCCCAGCCCATGCCTAACTTTTTAGACAAGAACTGGCTATCAAACTTAGGTCTTCAAATTTCCATGGCAATATTTTACCAACTGAGTTATCTCCCAGCCCTGAATTTTCACATTTCATCTATTTAAAAGTTTTCTATTTCTATAAAATATCAATATCTTTGTCCTCTCCCACTTTGTTTTTTGGACAGTGTCTCACAATGTAGCCCTGGCTTGCCTAGAACCCATTCTGTAGACAGGCTGGCTTCATACTTACAGAGATCCACCTGCCTCAGCCTCCCGGGTGCTGGGATCAAAAGGGTATGCTCTCACACCTAGCTTCCTGTATTTTTTTGAGGATGTCGCAATGAAACGTTTATTGTACTTACATTTTATTTCCCCTATCTTTGAGATTATAATATAATTACAACATTTCTCCATCCCCTTTCTTCCCTCTAAACCCTCTCATATATCATTCCTTGCTTTCTTTCAAACTGTAGCATCTTTTATCACTAATTGTTATTACATGCATTTATGCACATACATAGCTTGCTTAGTCTGTATTATGTTATTTTTTGTTTGTTTTGTTTTTTTTTTTGAGACGGGGGTCTATTATACAGCTCTGGCTGTCTTGGAACTGACTATATAGACCAGACTGGCCTCAAATGTACAGAGAACCACTTGCCTCTGTCTCCCAAATGCTGGGACTAAACATCATGCCTGGATGAGTAACATTATCTGTAAGTATGTTTTTAGGGCTGATAATTTGGTATTAGACAACCGGTTAGTATGCTGTTCCCTGGAAAATACTGTTCTCCACTCTCAGTACTCCTTAGTTGCCTGTAGTACTTTGTGTAGGTTTGGGGCCTTGTGGGCATTCCCCTGTTCACTTTAACTTGTCTATTAGTGTTGTTCTTGTTCAGTTTGTGTTTAGGGAGTCATGTTGGTGAGACCTTATGGGTATAGTTTCTGAAGTTCCTAGAAGACACAGTCTCACATTAGAAAACTCTCTAATCTTCTGACTCTTACAATATTTTCACCCCCCTTTGCCAAAATGTTCCTGGGCCTTAGGTCTTGGAGAGTGTTTTGTAAATGTAGTCATTTGGGATACATCTCTACACAACTCTACACTTTGATTGGTTGTGATTTTATGTATTAGTCTCTGTTGCAAAGAGAAGTATAAGGACAAATATTTAGATTATTGTTAGGGATTATGCTGGTTTAGAAAGTAGTGGTTGTAGGTTCTCCTCCAAGATCCACGACTTCCCTAGCCCGGAGTAGCTGGCTGGGTTTCCAACACCGGGCATTGTTTCCCTCTTGTTCAGTAGGTCTGATTATAGAGCTTTTGGTTACCACCAAGGTATACAAGTCACTACTGCACCCTTAGTGTTATCATGCCGTGTTTCTTGTTGATGTAGTACATAGGTGTCATAGGACTGTTGGTTGCCTCCCTCCTACCATGGTATGTAACGTGAAGGCTGGTCCTCAGGAAGGTGGCAATCAGGTTGCTTCTAGGATGTTCCCGGCAAGAGCTCCTCTACCAATGAGCTGAGGAGAATGACTGCCTTCCTGCTCCAAGACCAGAGGTGTTTTTTTTTTGTTTTTTTTTTTTTGTATCCAAGCAGTTTACCAAGTGTACCTGAGGCTTACACAACATGTATCTCGGGTTATGGTCCTTTTGTTTATTCCCACATGCACTTTTACACTTTGGAGATTCCCCCCCCCCCATTTTCAGTTGTGATGCTGTCCCTGGGCAGCCCTGGAACACAGTGCTTAAGGCAGGTCCCACCCTGTGCACATCATTTTTGTTGATTACTTGTATGGTTGCCTGATAACAATCAATAGTATAGGCGGGTGGAGGGTGTGGCACTCAGACCCATGTAGTCTAAGCTCAAATTCACTATGTATCCAAGAATGATCTTGAACTTCAGATCTTCTTGTCTCTTCCTTCAGAAAGCAGGGATCACAGACGTGCCTCACCATGCTAGGTTTATTCCGTACTAGGGTCGGAACCCAGGGGCTTTATGCATGCTAGACAAGTACTCTATCAACTGAGCTACATCCTTGGGTCCCAGAAGTAATATTACTGATCATCTGTTGAATGACAATAGGGAGCCTCAAAGGAGAGATCAAGCCTCGAAGCCAGGCTCTGTAACCAATTGCCTGGGTTTAAGTTCTACTCTTTTTTGTTTGTTTTTCGAGACAGGGTTTCTCTGTAATGTTTTGGAGGTTGTCCTGGAACTCGCTCCGTAGACCAGGCTGGTCTCGAACTCACAGAGATCCGCGTGCTGGGATTAAAGGTGTGTGCCACCACTGCCAGCTCAAGTTATACTCTTATCAGAGCCATCTGTAACTTCTCTTTCCTTCCTTGTGAAACCAGACAGCACCTACTTCACAAGTCTGCTATGATTAAAGGATCTGGCTTTCATTGCTTAAGATAAAGATGGTGTAAGTGGTGAAGTCTAGTTTCATTTCTCAGTCTAGTGTCCTTCCCCACCACCGCCACCATCCCCACGTGCTCCACGTGCCTCGCGTAAATAAGTGAGCGCGCAGGCGCCAGGAATCGGTGCCCATTGGCCGCCCGGAGCTGTCCAGAGCCGTGAGGAGACACTCAGTAGCCTCTGACTGCAGGCTCCACCCCGGGTTGGTTATCAGCGAGTTTGTGGGTCCCTGAGTCCCGGCCAGGAGCTTTGCCCTTGTCATGGCGCCGATGCTGCAGATGCTGTGGCTGCTGGAGCTGCTCCTGGCCGTGGCCCTGGTCCCAGTCCCTGCCAAGCCCCGGGCCGATGATGAGCAGGCCTGGGATCTGTCATCCTCGGAGCTGCTGGCGCCTGCCCGCTTCGCTCTGGATATGTACAACTACGGCCGTGCTGCGGGGACGAGGGCCGTGCTGGGGACCATACGCGGGCGCGTCCGCCAGGTGAGGACGCGTGAGGAGCGGGCGCGGGGCCTGGTGCCAGGGATGATGCTAGGTGGAGTTTGACTTAAATTTTGGGTGTTTGCCTGAACGGTGGAGGAAGGGACTTGTGCAGGCTAAGACTGGGTAGGGAAGCACAGGTGGACTACTGGCTCCTAAGAGGAGCAAAGGGAGATAGATGGCTGTGCCAGCCTCATCTCCTCCTCCCTCCAGGCGGGTCAAGGCTCTCTCTTCTCCCTGGAAGCCACACTGGAGGAGCCACTTTGCAATGATCCACTGGCGTGCCTGCTCCCTGTGACCAAGAAAACCGTGGTGAGTGTTGGGGTCCCAGCTATTTTTGGCCCTAGGCCGGCAAGCGATTGGAATGATGGGTCCTGTGAAGAGGCAGAGGTTACACCACCCTGAGTTACTAATTAGAAATCAAGATACTCTGAAAGGGTGGGTGTTTGGGTGCTGGGTGTCTGCTGCTGGCCAGGGCCTCCTCCCCCCAAGTTATGATTGCCTTTCTCTGGGCCTCCTTTGAGGAGCTTCTAGCTGCTCTTGCCACGATCTTGTTCCAGTCGGTCCCCAGACTCTTCCTTCTCTCCCTCCAGCTCTGCAGCTTCGAAGTCTTGGATGAGCTAGGAAAACACATACTGCTGAGGAGGGACTGTGGCCCAGTGAATACCAAG